GATCTTTAAAATAGTTTAATTGATGATTTGGAAGACTTTTTCTGTCAAAAATTATAGATGAACCGACTAACCGCTTTTTTTAGCGGTAACCGCGGTAAATGCCAGTTCATTTTTTGTGGTAAACCGCGGTATTTATCCGTTCTGCGGTAATGAGAGCCGGTAACCGGACCGGTAAAACCGCCGATTTTCATGCGGTTTTTATTACATGGGTAAGTCACCTGTTATCAGCGACCATATTTATCTTCGTCTACAGTAGTAAATTTCGGAGATTGCAAGACACAATTTCTCATACCTAAAAAGCTTGTAGAAAAGTATTTAGTAAACTAATTATCGGTATAGGGTAAATCATATTATGAAAACTAATATATTGATAAACTGAATCATGAATTGATTAAAATAACTTCAATCTTCATTGAATATAGATGTAGTGATAACATTAAACGAAAATTCGTTTATAATCGCTATAAACATTTTGAACATGAACTTTTCAATAAGTCTTCAAAATCGATATTCTATTTTAATTGACATTCGGCAGTAATTATGTATAGGGGAGAAATCTTTGTAATAAAAATCAGTTACAAGACCCTAGTTTATTTTGTTTTCAAAATAATAGATTTAGTCAAAAACAAAAATTCGTTTGCTATCACAATTCTAAACTGTTTCGAACTAAATTATATATTAAAAACAAGTTTCTAAAAGTGGCCTGCATTTTTTGTATAGATGAATACATGAATTAAATTCATACTTGTACTTAGTTTCGCAAAAATGTGATTATTTATGATATCAAGATCAATTTACAATTTGAAATAAGCTGGTTTAGGTTCAAGTAAAGGATAAAGCAATGTTCATAATCACACTCTCCAATGCCCACAGCCTATGTTACGCTCAAATAAATTCAAGTATAAAATAAAAGATGATTTTTGAAAAGATTTTTGTAAACAATTATACATACGAACATAAATGCGATAACTCTTACCGTTTGGCATTTGTTGAAAGCAGCATGATAAAGATTGTAAAATTCCGGTAATGCTAATCTATTCCGTCAAATTTAGCTTCAATTTTGAATATTTTCCTAAAAAAAGATTTAATTTCACAAAAATAATTTCATGCTTTGGTTGAGTCTGGATTTCCTCTTCTATACTAGATATTTAAATATGACACTGAAGTTTTTTCGTTAGAAATATTTTGTATAAATCCTGCACGTCAATGCCTGATTTCTTTAACGGTTGTCTAGTGCAACAGATAGCATTTTTCAATATTTACGAAAATGATTTCGAGAATTGCTTGAAAAAGTCTAATAGTGATGAATGATGTCCTTGAAAAATTGACTCAAGATTTTTATTTTGTTTTGTATAACGCTGCAATGAGTAAAATATTGTTTTGTCTTGTATGCGTTTGCCATCAAATGGGTACATGACCGGGCTTACGTCACCAGCGCAAAAAGCTCTATTTTGTAATACAATGCGTGAATGCGTCTGTCTCAATATCGATGACACGTGTGCATAAAAAAGAAAAAAATACTTCTTTGCCGTTTATATTCAATGAGATTGCATTTTTTTTCTTTCATTCTCTTCTTTTTCATTTGCTATTTAAACGAAGAATAACTTTTTCAGTTGCATATACATCCGAACTGCCTTTGAGATCTGCAAAATATGTGTAGAAAAACAACTTGTTCTACTTGTGGAAAGCCTACATGGGCAGGTAATTGCATATTTTATCATAATCTACCCAAACTTGATTTCTATCGAACCTCGTTTATTTTTGTTTTACAGGCTGTGGTCGACATATCGAACAAGCGTTGAAAGATGTACCAGTCGATCAACGATGCAAATGTGAAAAAAGTCTCATCGGTAGATCGTGTATTCTTTTATAAAATAAAAAGAACGCAACACCATTGGCTTGGCCTAGCTACAGCAAGATTCACGATGAACAATATTTAACATGTATTTTTTCGTTTGAATTTCATTTTCAAAGAATCTTTGAAATAGTGCGTATATCTCACTCTTAATCAGCCATTCTTAAATATCTTTTTAATCAAATGATTAGGATGCAAATGAAAAGGAGAGTATTGATTATCGTTAGATACAAAAAAGATTATGATTAAAGGTCCAATGCAACTGGCAAACCTAGAAAATGAAAAAAAATAATGAAATGTGGCAGCTATAAATCATATATAAGCTGTTCGTTAGTAGAAGTTCTTTCAATAGTGCTTCCAAGTTATATGTTCAAATAATGTTATATATGAATCTTTAGTTTCAATTTCGATTCAACAATGATACAACAAAATAGTCTAATAATGAAGGGTGTGCTGAATAATTTATTTTGGATCGAATAAATCTCAGATGAGTTTGTAGCGATCATTGGAGCGCTTGCAACTAAGATTCTTGAAAAAAATAGTGTTGACTTTGTAAATAGTAATAAAAAACCGATGAACTGTGAAATTAAATAAATAATTTACGATTTCACAGAGAGAATTTCAATGTATGAACTATAGATGATAAAGGTAAAGGTACATGCAGATCGATGATTGCTGGTTGTTTTTTGTCGAAAATGGCAAAAAGTTCTGGAAAAATCCAACGAAATTTCAGCTTCGAGTACTGTTGTAATTTTCATCGTTTTTTTAAATAGTTTGCATAGATTCATCGAAAATAGTGATCGAGTGCCAAAACATCATATTAGTTTATGATTAATTAAAGATATATTTTTTCACATCGTTGTACGGAATCCTGATTCATCATACGCATATACAATCTCAGATCATGCGTATCAGCATCTGTGAAAGCATCGATTTCTTTCTTACTCGAGAAAAGTATCAATAGCTAGATTAACAATTTGTATTTCTTGGCTCATTATTATTATAAATTTATTTATTTTTAAATAAAAAATTTTTATTGTTAGTGCAAAATTCGAATGAATATTTATGCATGCGCTGACCAGAGACGTGCACAGGACAACTTTTTCTATCCTGTCCGCTCCTGTCCTGGTTTGTCCTGCGAGATTTTTCTGTCCTGGCGGGCGGCAGGACAAAATAAATACAAACGTCCTTTTTGTCTTGTTTACTTATTCTGCTTTGATACATGATAGAAGTACCAATATGAGACTCCTTATTTTGATTTCAAATGGCTAAAGTACTCAAGACTACTATTTATCTCGTAGCTCACTTGTTTTATATAATTTTTCTAGGCAATAACTCCACTGTGAATAATCACTCGTATCATAGATACAACAAACTATAGCACAATCGTGATTTGTTACTGTGATTCTGAAAAACTGCAGGAGTTTCCCTGGATAATGAAAAGTACCTGATTTCGTAAAGGTACATTATGAACCTTCAGCATGATCCTATTTAAGCTGAAAAATGTCGACTTATTCTTGCTGTTGATTTACAGGCTCTATATCGGAAGCAGCGTTTGGTCTTATAGAAAATAGATAAAAAAGATATTTTCATGTAAAATATTGTTTCAGTCTAGATCTTATGATCGTAACAGTTCACCGACATGTTTAATCGACTTAAATGCTTTTTTATCCACATACCCGATACAGAGAAAACCCCTAATATTTTGTAAAAAAAATCTAGAAAGATAATGTTTCTTCTATATGTGATAGCTCTAGAGAGAAGCATTTTTCCTCGGTAAAAATTATAGGGCATCATCAGTGAACAAATTTCAGGCTTATTGGTTCAAATCTCAAACAAAATCCTCTCACTCAAGATTTCTTTATTTTCCTAAGTATTTAATTAGAGTATTTCTTGCTAGAAACGGTATCCTGATGATGGCATCATGCATTAGTAGACCGCCTAAAAAATTAATGCTGCGGTTATGAATAAATACAATGTTCAGTGGGAAAATTGTTCTTAAAAATTTGAGTTTTGAAAGATTGTAGTATTTAGATTGTTAGTCACCAAGAAACAATCTTTCTCTCTGTGTATCATCGATAAGTTTATCATAGCTAAAAACAAAACTGATTTTTTTGTATATAATCTTATGCAGATTTTACGTCAATTAAGGCACAACCCTAGGAAGAGATACTAGAATTTTAATTGTTGATAACGCGTTTCCGACAGCAAAAGAAAACTTTCAAAATTTGAATGGATTAGCTTCAAGATGAGCACAGGACAACTTTTTCTATCCTGTCCTTTCCTGTCCTGATAGCTATCCCTGTCCTGGCGGGCGTCAGGACAGGACCAAATTTGAAATTTCATCCTGTCCTGGTTTATCCTGATCGTGAATCCCGTCTTGGCGGGCGTCAGGACAGGACGAAAATTAAAAGTTTGTTCTGCCCTGGAGGACAGGACAGGACAGGACACCAGGGCAGCAGGACCGTCCTGCCCTGTGCACGTCTCTGGCGCTGGCAATGACACGAAGAAAATACTTTAAAAACATATGAAATTAGTTCTTATTGACAAAGAATAGAATATATAGAGTTCTCTTCACTCTAATTATCGAAGAGGATTTTGTATAAATAGAAGTTACACATGTATAGATCAACACAAAGATAAGAGAAAACGACATAAAAAAAGATCTTCGATAATATACACACGATGAGAATGCATCGATAGTTATACATTTATGTTGCATAGTAGTCCTTGTGGTTAATTGTCGTCCGAACTCATGGGATTGCCACCCTGCTTATCATTAATCCAAGATGGTGACTTGAATTCTTGAATCATTTTCCAGATAATAGCTGAAACAATGATATGCATTTAAAATATATCTAACTAACGTAATCATTCTCGCAGTTCTATTGATTTTTATATAGAAACATGCTGATTAGACATTACAATATGGAAAAAAACACACCTATACACGTTCTTAGCTATGAAATATATCTGAGGAAATTAATATTTTACTATGTTCTATCGATCATTTCTTATTCAACAAAGTTTATCAGAATAGAATAGTAACGATACTTGAGTGAAACCAATAAATAGCAACAAATCCCCATCCGAACGACTTACATTTCCATTCTGGTACATCATACTTTGCACCTTGATGTATGTCCATTAAACGTTGTATGGTAGGTTCATCTTCTGCAGTACGATATCGTTGCAAAAACGGATGCTCTAAGAAGGATAGAATTTAGAAATAAAAAGAAAAACTACACTGTATCTATATTTTGATTACTTACTAAGGGCTTCGCCTACCGTTGGACGTTGACGAGGATCAAAAGTTAAAAGACTTCGCAGAAAATCAATACCTGTAATAATGAAAAACAATGTACACATGAAATGAACTCTTGTTATTGAACATTTATTCTTAACTTACCCTCTGATGAAACACCAGATATTTTATTTTCTCCTGTTTGATCATATTTGTAACCGAATAGTTTATTAAAATCTTGCTGTGGTTTTTGTATTTTCTGAGCGCTGCTAGCTGGTGATACTAAAATTTTATCATACTTTCAATATGGCATAAATGCAAGGTGGAAAGACGTACTTGTGTACTTCAAAAGTACAGAAGTAGACTTCTCCCTTGCTTATATTAATTAAATAGAGTAAATTTTTAGAGCATACATCCCGTTTTAATAACAGAAAGGTTGTTCGCATTCAGCTTGAATGAAAAACAATCATTTTCAAGTTATAAACAAGCGATATGTCTTATAAGAGTTTCTATAGACTTTGTTTTCGAGACAAACCTGCATTGGATATTTCGTTTAATGTTTCAATATCTGGTGTACCGACCACATCAAATATTGCATCTAACTGAGTAAACTGGCTGGTTCCAGGAAAAAGCGGACGAAGTAGGATCAATTCTGCCATGATGCAACCCACTGACCATATATCGACTTTTTCATCGTATTTGCTCTGATTAATTATTATTTCTGGTGCACGCCACCACCTAGTAAAATTATTTTCTTTTCTATTTTTTTAAAATAAAAACAAGATTATTAGCATACCGAGTAACAACATAGCCCGTTTTTTCACTCCCGTCTACAGTGCGAGCTAAGCCAAGATCAAGAATCTAATAATAAAAGAAAAGAACAGAATTTCCGATGAATAGCTAATTATATCTTTCGTTTAATAATATGTTGGTATCCGAGTTTCATTCGATTGTAAAATATTGTAGGAAACTTACAATATCGATGGTTGAGAAGCATGTATTTCATCAAAACACAATGAATAATCGTTTATAGAATAGAACGTGAAGTCTAGTATATTTCCATTGGCAATGACTATCATGAGAAAGGTTTCGCTTTGAGCGTCTATAATAAACGGTCGTAAAGAAATAATGAAATTGGTAGCTCAGCAATCGCTGTTAATACATAGTAGTTGTATGGACACTTCAGTATTGCTCTAACTGATCATCGAGTCTTAGAAAGGATCACATCTATTAGATTTTTAGTTCAATTTTCATTTAAATTATTCAAGTAATATTTTGAAAATTTCTATCTAAGGAATGAAGTCTCTGGCTGAAAATCCGAAACTATATGCTACTCATTCGATCCTCAATTGTTGTTCTCACATTCGAATCAAAATATATATTCATGAGATAAAATATATCTTAGACAAAATTAATTTGTATTGATCTAACAAATTTACACTTTATAATATTTATCGCAGTTGATTACTGCAAATATATTCAAATGTAAATTGTGAAACTATAACTTTAACGTAAGTAAAATACTTACTGTGACATTAGATTGTGCATCTATTCCAATATTTTCTGGCTTCAAATCCTATTTTAAGAAAAATCAATCAATATGATTCATCATAAGAAAACATCTTTTGTTAGACCTACCCGATGGATAATACCAGCAGAGTGCATATACTAGACAGCAGAGAAAGAATAGACCGTTTTATTAAACAGATATTATAACGAGAGGCATAATACCTGCAAACCACGACAAATTGAATAGATAATTTGATTGACATGATTTTCAGCTATGGGTAAACGACGTTTGATAAGCTGATTCAAGTTGAAGGGAACAAAATTAAAAACAAAATATCTAAGAAAACAAGAATAATACTACAATTTTCACTGAAAAAAAACCTTTTCAGCGCCATACAATGTTTCGAAATCTTCTAGTTTTTGCTCCGGCGTAAATACATGGTATAATTGTAAAAGCTGTAATAGAACAAAATAGTAATGAATTTTTCAATCATACAACGCATGATTATTTCACATACTTGTGCATCAGGATGGGTAAGATATTGGGTTAATTTCAATTCTCGATATGCTCGTTGAGCATATACATCATTTTGAAATGGTCGAGTTAGTTTTTTAATAGCTACCCATTGGTCTTTTTCCTATGTTCGAATATATTCGTATCTGTTGATTATATTAATAGGGAAACATACTTCATCGAAAGCGCGACTAAAGCAAAGATTCATATTATTATAAAGCAATTAATTGAATTCTATCCTTTTTTTTTAGTTTTTGAACTTACATCACAGTACCGTACCTGCCCTGTCCAATATGAGATAACTTCTGATATCGCACAGGTAATGTATATTGGCAGTAATAACAGCCTTGTGTATACCATTGATTTTCAAATGTAGATGGAACCGCCATTACTGATTTTACTATATTGAAAAGAGTAAAAAGTGGATAGGATTTTACGATAGTGAAAGCATATTTATACTATAAGCCGAGTGTTTTTCTCTGAAAGACACGTGTAAAAATAAGCAGAACGAAAGAGAAAACCTTAAAAACATTATTTGGTCATAAAGAAAGAAAAATTCAACCAAAAACATTGTAGTCGTCAAAAAAAGGAATATTTTTCTATTTTCTCAATATAATGTAAAATTTCCAACAACAGAGGGTAAATAACCATCAAGGCTTAAATTTAGCAATAGCATGCAAAACATGTCGTAATACACATAATTTGAGATTATTATTAGAGTAGGGTAAATTTTTGCTTTGCATGATTCATGTGTAAAAGCATTTACTATGTCACGGTTAAGAAATCTAGCAACGTAGCTTTTCATATAAATCATAATTCTGATGAATACAAAAAATATGGTACTACAATAAAGGATCGCATCTTTGTTATGATGAAAAAGTAAAAAGTGTTAGATTAGTAAAGTCTGTATGATTCAAGAGTAGAAATCTATATGCCCGATTAACTGCCAAAAACCGAATGGGGAACAAGATGTTTCATGAGAGTTCAAAACAAAAGAGTATGTTAGGCATATTTTCATCAGTCTCTACTAATAATTTAAATCAGTTAGTTTAACTGTCATCGCATTTCATTAAATAAATTGTGTCGGAGTCATCTGTCTAGAGTACACTAGTTATGTATTGTTATTCAGACCAACGAACACAAATACTTTTGAAAAATAAGCAAAGCATAAATCGATAGAGAAAAACATTCGATCATTCAAGCGGGTTAAATTTGTTTTTCATGGATATTTGACTTGTGCATCTTGATCTACTATTGACTGATGAAAAGAAGATGCTTGTTTTTTACTGGTTATTTTAAAATAAACTGTGTGAATATTTTTTTTTATAACTGGGCCAAATATTAAGATTTATATATATTTGGAATCAGCGGAGTTTCAGGAACAATTTCTCATAAATTTTGGGCTGGTCATTTTTGAAAAACAATTCATGTATGACGCACTGTGCTTATCAGCAGCTATAGGCATGGATGAGATAGATGAAACCATTTGAAACTTATTCGCGTCTAATATCTGCAGATTTGAGATACTGCATCTACGTACGGCGGTTTTCACGGCCGCTAAAACCATTTGTACGTACCACATCGACTATTTTGGCCTAGTTTTAGGGGCGTAACCAGAGGGGGGCTCAGCCCCCCCTAGAAAAATAAACCCTGTGAAAAAATTAGTTTAGCCCCCTACCATGGCTTTGACCAACGACTTATCCCCCCTTACAATTTTTTTCTGGCTACGCCCCTACCTAGTTTCTAGGCTTGGCTATTCATGGCAACGATGACGCTAGTTATGTTACCAAAAATATTGTGAAAGTGAAAAATGACCAAAAGAAAAATATGATACTATTACGTTTTTGGGGTGTGGGTGTGGGTATTCGGAGGGGTACACTTTGGTTTCTGTTGTCATATCAACCCACACCCACACTCACACCACACCCATGTATAACTCGTTATTCATTTGTTTTATTCGATTGTAAGAAAAGTATTGAATCAAACAAAGTAGTTTTAGCTTTGAAATATATTAAATGGCTTCTTTATAAAAAAAAAAAAGAAGATTTTGTCAAGTATTTCATACAATTGATAACATTAACATCTCATTATCAGCTGCTTCTCACTATGCAAAATTACTTTAACAGTATAGTGCAACAATGCAAGTTGTATCTTCTGTACAAAACAAATTGCATTCAGCTTTCCAATGTTTCGAGTTGACTTCATTCTATGTTATGATTTCAACACAAGTTTTGGCAACAATGTGCACACCTAAAAAATAAAATTTTCAATTACTCTATGAGTACACAAGACCATTGACAATATTTTCTTTAAATCAACGAGCGATGTTTACTACTTGAATGAAAAACAAGTTTTAATTAATGTTTATTGCTTTTTTTCTTTCGCTTTTTTGATCTTATGAATATGCCTTTCATTTTCGATGTTGCCTGAAAAACATCGTACTAAGAAGACAATGCAATAAACTTTCTCAAGAATAAGAAACGCTACAGCGAGTTACGATAGATTAAACTATTTGGTCCATAACAACGGATAAAAGAACCTGGCAGGGTATTCCAAATATATAAAAATAAACATCTATAATGAGAAACTATTGGCATAGTATCAACTTTTCAAAGGTATTCATTTGACCAGCGGCAAGGAAGTAAATATTTATCCTGAAGGACGCATTGTATTTATCGGTGGCTGAAAAATTCAAATCGTTAATTATTAATTGATTGAAACACGAAGAATGTTTCCTTGATATAATTTAGATTCTGTTGAATCTCTGCTGGGAAAAAGATTACTCAGATGTAATGATAATTAACGGTAATAAACATAAACTGTCCTAAAGAATACGTAGGTAGATATTCGTTGAAGATTAATAGTTTTTTTTCAAAAGAAAAATTTACTTTCACAATTAAATTATTTTATGAATTTATTCTTGTTATCAATAAAATGACGTGCATATCTTGAATTTCATCAATTGATCTTTTCATAGTTTCTTCACTATAAACACGGGAAGTGATACAAAGCTTCATGCCCCCAGTGAGTAGCAGTAAGCATTATATATTTATTTAAATACTTTTTACGGAGAGAATAAATCAGAAGATAGTCATCATTGGTGTGGTTTCAGATAACAGAACAGAACAATACTTGAAAATTATTTTTGTTTGTTAATTAAAATAATATTTTTCATTTCTCAACAAGTTTTGACAGAGCAGAAAAAATTGTCATTTTCTGCTGATGTATGTGAAATTACAATCGTCTCAACAAGAGACAATCTTATTCCGAAATTTCACATACTATTGCGATAGGCATTGTATTGATGGATATCACAACTATCTATCACTTATGGTGCGTAGAATTAGGAAAATCGATACATCAGAAAATTGATATGAGCACGTAATAATTCTCATATGAAATTTATTTTTTTCAAGTGAGCATTTGATCGAGAAACTTGAAAAAAGTTTTTTTTTTATTTGAAAATAGCAGATCTTATGATAGTCTTTTACGTTCGTTTTTTATTTCAAGTAATGAAGTGTCAAAAGCATACTAGTTTGATAATCAACAATATCAAATAAAAACAAATCTTAATTATTGATTTGCAAAATTATTCTTGTTAGCTTATTCTTTATCATGTCTTTTTTAATTAGAATAAGTCCATCTTATTTTACACTTTATAAGAAAATTAATATTCACACTTCGTTCATTAAGAATAGGATTGAGTTAACGGGTGCGTTTTCTCAACACTTATTCTAAATTTCAATATCGAAGAATAAGTTTGTGAAACTTTCTCGCGAGTCATTAGCCTACGTTTGCCAGTGCATGCTATTTCTGGAGATCTTCACTATTCTAGATTCTAACTTGTCATAACAAGTCGTGACGAGCAATGCCTTTTGGTTTAATTATATGGTTTGTTGCCTTTGCTTTTACCCACGGAAAACATTTCAATGGAGGAAGTATTACGTGGGCTCCTGTTGATCCATATGATAATGGTAGTTCAATTGATATTACTATAACACAGTCTTATTCATGGACATATCCATATGTACAATGCCAAGACAATGTACCAATATCAACGAGTACATTCAGTGATGCTAATACTAATTTATCTTGTGTTGTTGACTGTTCGTCAGATGGTGGATATTCTTATGCGCCCATCGATATTCTTACGAATTGTACATCAGCTAGTTCATCATTGAACATGATGACAAGTGAAGCAACAAAAACAAAAACACTTTCTTCTGGAGCACATTTCTATATTGGCTATATGGGCAGAGCATGGATAGCATTAAATGATCCTCCTGAACAAAATCTTCAGTGGTCTCTTGTCACACACATTGATCTTCGTATGCGACCCGATGGTTTCATCAATACTCCACCTGTAGTGAAATTTGTTTCGCCACAATATACTTTTGTCAATAAAACAGTGAACATCGATATTCCTGTTTCAGATATTAATGCGGGTGATGATGTACGTTGTCGATGGGCAACATATACAACTGGCTATCGACGGCGAAGACGTCATTCGCATGAAGAAGAAAATCGTAACAATCACGAGTACACTGCTCACAGATACCAAATAAAAAATCATAACGAAGAAATCATGAGTAGTAGAAAAAAGAGATGGAGTTGTGGATGTGAGTACAACGATCATTGTAGTTCTGCTTCATGCGCAGTGGCCTTTTGTCTTGGTGCGAAATGTACAAGCACATGTTGTGACATCGTAGTCACACCTAGCACAACGACCACGGCTACCTTCTCTACGGCCATGACAACTGATGCCACAACTACTCAAGAAACTATAGGAACACTAAGATCGACGTCATCATTTCCTACTCGTCAAGCCATTGATGAATGCTCAGATATTTGCTATCCGGGAAATCTACCTAATGATACGACTTTGTCCAACTGTACTGTCACATTCACAGGTCCTACAGTTGGTGTCTGGTATGCCATTGCTATTCAGGTAAGTCTACTGTTCTTTATTCATCACCGATCGTGCTAATAAAATAATTGTATTATAAATAATAATTAATGAAAACTAATTATACTTGATTGATCATAATTTGCCGCGAGAATTCATTCGTATTTTTTTGTCTCGTATACAACTTTTCAGAAAAAAAGCTATACTCTATATATTTAGAAAAGAAAACGATGAGATTATTCATGACATCATATGATATGTATTTCTATAGGTTGAAGATTTTCTTGATTCAATAAGTATGACGCCTATGAGTTCAATTCCAGTTCAAATCTTGATCTATGTTCAACCAGATCCAAAGTGTTCAAGTGCACCTCTAATTTTCCCACTGGATTGTTGCCTAGAAGTACAAATCGGTATATCAATCAATTTCAATCTATCCATGATGAATTTATGTAATGATACCGTGTCAAACATAGCTGATATAGTCGTTTCAAATGATATTACTGGTATGGTTCGTGATAATCTAACCAACTCACCAAACGCGTCAATCTCATTTGTGAGATTCGCTTGGACGCCACAGACAAATCAAATTGGATATCAGAAACTATGTATTATTGCATTTACAACGTAAGAATGTTTGTCGCTTGGCTTGATACACCTGTAAATAGTCTCTTATTTTCTTACTAATTAGCGAAAATCTACAATCCGATCAATATTGTGTTACATTTACTGTGAAAAATTCATCTGATCTTTGTGTAACAACTACAACAGCCACCACTACTACATCAGAAACAACCACAACAACGTCCAGAACAACTGTGTAAGAAATCTGAAAGTATTTTTTTCTGGAAACAGACCAATAGACACTGATTTTAGCCCTGGTATTGGCTTCCAGTTTTGTTTTTGCTTTATTTTTATGTTAAGTTTGTGTACCAAATTTAAGTATGGCTCATAGAAAAGGTTATCGACTAAAATTCAATCTTCGCTTTTTTTTCTATCTATTTGAAATATGCTAACATTGTTAGAGCATATTGAAATAAAAATTTCGTAAATTAAATTGCTGGTAATTTCTATCTTTGTAGTACCACAGCAACGCTGACGACAACAACAACTACACAAGTCCCAGGTAATATTTTACTAGTTTCCTCGAAACTCTAATCGGAGTGGATCGGTTTTAACAGAGATGATTTGAGATAATTGCTTTAGCATGCATCAGGAGATATTCGAAGATGCATACATGAGTAGGACTCTACAAGAACTTTTGTAGGCAGATAGAATTTTTTGACTAATAATAATAGCTCTGTATTAAATAATACCAGAATGAGGTAAACATTTTGACATTATATTTAAAAATTGGGCTACTATTTAGCTAGAAAAATCATAATACTTTGATATATCTTCAAGTTGACTTTCTTTTCCTTGTCTTTTTTTGATAAAATTCAATTACTTTCAACGTAATATTTTACATTTACATAGGATCATCTATAAATTGGCTCCTAGTAGTAGGCTTATCTTTACTAGTTTTATTATTGGCTGTCGGCGGCTCTTTGTGTGTACTGTATAGATATTTATGGTATGTATGTTAAACTTGCCATACTAATTATACTGAAATTTACTCATAGACTTGATTGTAAAATAATTGCTAAGTCGAGTTTCATTTCATCATATGGGAGAAATAAAAATTTATCTCTAAATCATTCTATCATTTGCATCAGCGCTAGTACACTGAACTAACTCCGAAGGTGGTATACCACAGTAGGCTGTTGCTCTTATCGACAAATATAACTAGTTTAACGCATATTACTTCGAACTACCTTTCGGCAATTCGTTGACGGCTTCTCATAGTTTTAATCTCATGAAACTCTGAATAGATTAACAAGATTTTTGAAAGAAGTATTGATTATGTTTTTTTTCTTCTTCTAAAAGGATTCCTGTTCAACAAAGTCGTCAACAAAGAACGAATATAGAAAATATTAGCGAACCATTTTTTGAGCGAGTACCTATGAGTGATGCGCTAAAAACAATGATGGCTTCTCGGCAAAGATTCAAGTCAGATATACCAAACAAAGAGTATTTTATGAACAGGCTGATGCAGTCTGATGGCAATTCGAGCAATCTACCACTATCCGACTTGCACTTGAGCATTACGAATTCAAATTTTTCTGAAACATTAACTTCGATGAGAAATTCAGAAGAGCATCGAACTTCGTCTACAATTCCTACTCAAAAGTTTCGGCGTATTAGCATCGAACAGTTAAATAAGAATGAAAATTTGAATGAAATTACTGATAATGCTGATTGTGAATCAGTAAATGATGTCGACTATGATGACAATACTCAACATGTTCAACGTCCAAAAGTAACAATTAGTCGAATGCCGAGCTGGAATAAATCAAGTCAGAACAGTTCTATCACACGTCAACAAGAAGGATCTCTCAGTGCATCGTCGATTGAATCATCAAAAAGTGATCCAATCAAGGCCACTAAAGTATCACGATATCCATCAGCTTTAAGTCAACCAATTCGAACATTAAGTGTTGAAAATATCAGTATTAATAGTTTCGATAGAATATCCATGGAATTAGAACAACCTATGAGACTTCGTTCAAATGATAGTTCTCTCGATACAAATAGCGAAGTACAAAAAAGCAACGGTGTAACCATTACGAAGCTTCCACAAAAGTCTAATACTTTCGAATATAGTCCTTCATAAATATATACTATTGCCAATCATTTGGTCATTAAAAAATTCCTTGGTTTTCATCAACTAACATTTATTATTTAACAGGACTTATTACTGATAGTGATTTTTATTATTTATTTATAAATAGAAACTCTCTTTGTATAATTTTATTGTTTAGAAATAAAATTTTGACAATCAATATCACGTGTATAATGTACTGATATCGGAACAGGCTAATAAAAAATTTTCGAATTCTATTAAATATATTATTTCATCAGAAGAATTAATACATAAAATAATCATACAATAATGTATCCAATCGTTAGTTTTAGATCATAATTTATAGAGAATTTGTTTATATTACAGTTTCGTTGTAAAAGAGGGTTAATATAGTTCGAGAAAAAATATTCAATGCGAAGGTTGTCTTAGTTGAAATAGTTCCAAATCGCATATTCAACCAGCAGATGTCACTAATGAAGAATACTTAGGGCTTTGAATAGAGAGAGATTGCTAAAAACTAAACATTTATTAGAAAGCAACAGAGAGATCTATTTTTCTGAAATATTAATTTTGAAGTATAAAATGAAAGAAATGGATTGATTGAGTTGTCAATTCTTATACACGTGACAGATTCCCTAATAATCAAATCATAGGTGATGAGTGATTTGCATTTGATTTACTAAGAGAAATTTTGCCACAAATGTTTGTTACGGACTGTCTTCTCATCGTCATCCTCGATTGTTAATTTCTATCGAATTAGTTTTTCATTATGGAAGATAACAACCAGGCATTTCTTGAAGTAGAGTAGTTGCATCGTTATTCGTATGTCTATTCGGTATAGATTGCATTGGAAGTGTTGTTATCAATGTTTACTTTAGGCGTTTTCTGCCTATTTTTGACTTGATTTCACCTGAAATAATTAAACAGCAAGCATCATGGAATAGTTAATCAAGTTCTGTTTCGCATTGTGCAAATATGCGAGGCAAAAAAAGCTGAAACAAGTGGTTCATTATTGGCGCTTCATGTTTGTGTATGTTTGGCAATGTATAATACTGCTGTTGTAAGTCATGATTATAAACAAAGAAAAAAAATTGAATTTCTTCAATACAATACTGCTTGGCGCTAGATGATTTTTGTGTGGGTGTGTTTGAAGCCATATACAACATTTGATCGAATAAAATTAATCCGCCTTGTAAATGTTGCATACATCGAAAACAATAGAAATTCATCACACAATATTAGTAAGAAAATAAGATTGAAAAAAAAATGCGGCCGTTTTCAGACTCAACATTATCTTCGGAAACGTCGATCCGAACTATAAATGAAAGTGAGATTTCATCTTCAGAAGAAAATGAAACTAATCTACTTCGTGATGCAAGCCAAAATCAATTATTCCGCAGTTACAGCGATGTTACTCATTCAAATCGACTTGATATTCCTTCTTCTCAAAGAAACAACATGGATAAAAATATGAAAGCTCATAAAAGTTCACGTCATGAAATCCACACTAGTATATCTTATATATCTAGAATTAATGTTGCATCTAGTCTGAGTGCTGACATTCAGGAAAATGTAAAAAATCAAAATAATACGTTACGTGATAGTCATACTAGTGTCTCTCGTATACATAGAACTGAGCTTCCATCGGCCAGAAGTACAACTTTTATCAACGAATCTGGGGGCAATGCAAACAATCCACTTCATGACTGTCACACTAGTGTCTCTCGTGTATCCAGAGGCGAAGTTCGGTCTTCACGGAGCAGCATTATCGAACACAATTCAAGACAACAAAATAATGCACTTCGTGACAGTTATACTCGTGTGTCCTTAGTGCAAAAAACTGAACTCCAATCTACTCAAAGTTCCAATTTTAATGAACGTGACACCATGAGTGGATTTCGTAGCGCGCGAAGTCACGTCACCATCAAACGCATCAAAAAACCTGGGTTATCACGTACTCAGACTCATGGTATTATTGAAACTATGAATAAAAAACGCGTCCATTCCAATAAAAATCAGATCGGTACTGATCGTCCCGAGAGAATAAATTTTTATTCTGCTCAGCACAGAAGGAGCAACAACAGCATTAACAGTGTTAACCGAGAGGAATCACAATCCACAAACAGCGACGACAGCATTTCATTGCGATATCTATCGGTTTGATATTTCATCATATGATTCTTCATATATTCTCTTTTATTTTTAGCCTACATGGGGTACTCGCATAAATTCTAGTCAGAATAGAGTATCACCATTCACCGAAAGTCCGTCGAAGAACATTAACATATTATCAGAGGAGAACAAGAAACGCCGCAAGTAAGCTTAGGAGATAGTAGTACTATTTTTTGAAACACGTCATCAGCATTCTAATACAATATCGTATGTTCGTAGTGTGCATATCTTTCGATGCTATTCGCGTAATTTTTACGAATATAAAATGAAAAAATCATTTTCATTGTCATAATTCATATCAGTCATAAGATTCATCAATTTTCAATGAAAAAAAAGTTAGGCAGCAGTTGATATTATATAAACCCAATAGGATTCATACAGATAATTTTGCCTGTTTTCAATCTTATGAAAACTAATTATCGGCTCTTTCCCGATGTCATCAATATATAAACCAGATGAATGTCTGATAGAATGTATTAGGATTCACTGAGCTGCGTTTATAGAATGGTATATTGTCTTGTGATTTTAGTGACCTATAGAAATACAAAGTAAACAACATTATAGATCTACACTTTAATGTGTCTCATACTTTTAAATTTTTTCTTCGATTCTGTATTTCAAAAAATCAAAAGAAAGCGGCCACTTTCAAGATAAATAAATAAACAAAACATCGTTCACTGTACATCACTAAGCATACTATATATTGTTTACTGACGGCATCACTACAAAAACTTTTCAGATGACGATGAAAGTTTCATTTCATACTTTATAATATATTTTCAAACTTAGTAGACCATTTTATTACCGTCCATTATTCTTGCTATGCTTGGCCATTACTACTCTACTTCTGCTGGCGTTGATCATTACCCTACTGCTTCTTTTATCGAAAAGTTCGTATTTTATTTATACTTGAATTTTTACTTCATTTTGATACGATAATAGATAGTCCTAAGACAACATCAACATCAACAACGGCTACCACTTCAACAACAACAAGCGCCACAACAACAACCACAACAACAGCTACCACAACAACTACAACGAGTAGCACGTCTACAACAACAACAACGACAACAAGTACCACATGTGAGTCTCTTTGCGCATCACACGAATTGTTTTCCTGAATTCTATTTCAAAACAAAGTATCTCATTCATATTGAATCGGTAAAGTATGTTTTTTTTATATTGTAGTTATAAATTAAATTTATATCTGAGAGAAAACTGACTCACATCAATCGTCTATTTTAAAGTTTCTTAGCAGTTAAGATTCTATGATGAAAACATTACCGAATGTGTTTCATTCTATTGTCTTATTCGGTATTGTAAGAAACTGCAATAGACCATTTAGTCATGTCAATAAATGTAATATTGACTATTTTCATAACTTTTTGTAACTCAAATGTTTATAAATAGTTCCATCTTGAGTAACTGGGATTTCCTTTTTCTTGGCGTTTATCAAACGACGTTTATCATTGTAAAAGTATGAAATAGCACTGCGTAAAACAGAATAATATATAAAAGAAAGACTAGACTCGAGATAACTAACACACATTCGGAATCTTTTAAAGTCTTAATACTATAGACAGATAGATATTCAATACACTGGACGCTGCCATTAAAACAGTCATTCTGTTTTATTTATCATGAAGACACAAGTGAAATTTTCAGTTTTATTTAATTCTTTTTATAATAATTAACGAAACTAAGTGATACGAAATCACCTTAACGATAGTATTTCAGAGCATTAGTTTTATATAAAATGAATTATGTGCTTCGCCACATATGGTTGATATTTGTCGATGGGGATAAAAAGAATATTGGCTTTATGGTCATGTCACTACTTTTAAAACACTTCACATTAACACAGTCATTTCCTTTCGACCAGCAAGACTGGTATCACTGGCAATCATCATTATTTATTAGCATTCACTATTAGACTCATATTTCTCAGAAAAATGGCTGCTAACAGAGCCTGTTTTTATTACTATTGCTAGAAATAAATCTTTAGGTTGGAAGAAATATTACTTTCTCTTGTAAATTCATATCAATCTAATTTTAAATCTAGCCACATCAACAACGAGTACATCGACAACATCAACAACAACTACCACAACGACGTCCACAACAACTACCACAACGACGTCCACAACAACTACCACAACGACGTCCACAACAACTACATCGACGACATCCACAACAAGTAGCACTAGTACTACAAGTACAACTTCTACGACAAGTAAAATATTTTTATGGAATAACAACGTATGAGAAATTTTATCTCGTAGGTACAACATCAACGACAACCACAGAGACTACCTCAACTACATCCAGCACAAGTATAAACAACGTTTAATTTCATATAAAATTATTTATACACCTTTTTAGGTTCAACTTCAACAAGTACAACTTGTACGTAAAGTATTTTGCTTTTATTTTCCAAATAGATTCTGACAACATTTCGAACAATCCATGCGAATGATTTTGTTTCATATAAATAGTAGAGCGTGCGTATATATACAATAGAGTTTTACTTTTTATGAATCCCAGAATTATCATGTGCATGAACCTATAATAATAAGAATGATATTGACGAAAAGCTATTTTATTAATTGTAGCAGCAACAACAACTACTAGTTCGAGCTCCACGACGGCAACAACTACAACACAATCGAGTGAGCAAATATTTATAACTATATTTGATCTAAAATATATATTTCAGCCACATCCTGTACGCCAGTCGGTCATGGTACTTTGCTTTCACTAAGTGGCTCAGCTCCAACTACATGGACATTGTATCAATATAGCTATACAGCCGTGTCTACATCGGCAATTATCATGTTTGGATTTCAGAATGAAAATAATCGCAAATACTTTTTGGATGCTGTATCTGTTGTTGACAATAGTGCACCTGCGGTTGAATTGCTCATGAATCCAAGTTTTGAAAGCTCAACAACAACAGCAACAGACTGGACTCAATGGTGTTCAAGCACTTGTGGTTCTACTTTCGGAGTAGTAGTCTCTGGTACGAATTGCTACCTGTCTACTGGCAATTGTTTTTCAGACAACTGCTACGCAAGTTTGGGTATTGACTTTCTCGGTCAATCATTTGCAAGTACAGTCGGCCATACTTATACAATCTCATTTTGGTTAATATTAGGTGGCTCAGGCACCACTACTGCTAATAGATTTTACGCTGACATCATCTAAACATCATATCATTTTTTTCCTTTTCTTGTGGCAGAATTAAACAATTCGAACACTTTTGATTCATATAAAAACTCATTCTAATCTGCAAACTTGTAGCCAACTTCAGAAATATAATCATTAGGAATCGCAATGTATATGTTAGTTAGAATAAACGCATACACCAAAAGGAAAATATCCGAATTTAATGAATTCTTGTTGATCAACATCCTACAACATTGATCGACACTATCTCAATATACAAATGATTTAAACATTTTTTTGCAGAATTAAATCCTAAGAATTTTATGAACACGATATTAGTAAAGAAATATTTTTATTTATTCTGTTTGTTGCGTCTAAAAACTAATTTAATGAATGACATTCTAGTTTCTTATATTTCTGATGACATTATCCATGTGCGCTTATGTAACATTCTATCTTCGTACTTATCGAAAAGAAAAAGAAAAAAAAACATGCACACAGCAGCTTATTATTGTCTAGTTTTTCTTCTTTTTCTACCATGCGACAAGATGGAGAAGACATCACAGAACGAACGAAGAAAAAAAAATCAGAAAGAAAAAAAACGCCTATGTAACTTATACGATGTGCACTTTGGTTAGTTGCAAAATAATATTCACATCCATTTTACTTCTGACAAGCGCTACAAAACAGGAACAACAAACAGAAAACATGGCAGCAAAAGCCGGTACAGAATTAGCTACTTTTGGTGCAGGTTGTTTTTGGGGTACAGAGAAATTTTTTCGTAAACAATTCGGAGCTAATTTAATATCAGCTCTCGTTGGTTATATGGGTGGTGCTTCAAACGCTACTTATCAAGATGTATGTACTGGTACGACGAACCATGCTGAAGTTCTACAACTCTCTTATGAACCAAACAAAGTAGCATACGCTGATTTAGTTCGCTTTTTCTTTCGTATGCATGACCCAACATCTCTAAATCGGCAAGGAAATGATCGTGGTACTCAATATCGTTCTGTTATCTTCACTCATACCAATGAACAGCAGAAAATTGCCGAACAAATACGCGATGAAGTACAAGCTAGTGGTAAAGTCAAGGGGGAAATTGTGACACAAATACAACCAGCTACTGGCCTTCAATTCTTTACAGGTGAACCTTATCATCAAAGATATCTTGAAAACAACCCTGATGGTTACTGCAATCATAGATTATACTTCTGATATAATACCTTACTATATAAATCTAATTCTTTATCTTAAATTTGTAAAAATAACCTGATATAAATAAAAACAAGAAATTATTCAATAGATTTGTCTGTTTGTAGCCGGATTACCACACAATTCATCTTTAGTCTCTGATAAAATCTCAAAAAAATTTAGTCAATGTAACTTTATATGTATTGATACTGTGGACTATCAAAAAATAAATGACTGAATGCAATTGCAAGCATTCAATATTAATTTTATTTATATTCGAATATAAATCGCGATAAAATTCTACACTATTGCCAAATGTGTGATCTTTTAAAATATTGATCATATAAATTGAAAATCCTTTATCAATGATTTTAAAAAATACCCGAAAATGGTTCGACATGTATAGCTTGTATGGTACCTGTTAGTTTATGACTAAACAATATTTTTATTTTGGCTAGTTTAAATATAGCATTTCTTTCCGATTCAAAATTCTTTCCATAATGAATAAGTAAATATCGCAAATAAAATATCGAATATATCATGACCTGTTTAGAATTCCTAAACGTTTTCACTACGTCGTATATCCATGAAAAGGAACGTTCAGGTTTTCATTCATTCAGATGAACGATCGCCGGAATTATGCCAGAAGTTTTTATATACATTGTTGAGATTTATAAACAACGAACGAATCACAATTGTTGTGTGCTGAAGACAATTAATTTCCACAAAGACAAAGTTTAGCATTGATAACTGGCCTCGGATTGCAAGTTTTTGAAAATGTAGGAATTAGCACAGGATCAAACTTTTTAAAAATACAGGAAAATGTGTAAAAAATCAGAAAAAAATAGGATATCGAAAATTCGTTGTTTAAAAAACACGACAATTATACTAAAACAAGAGCTTTTTTATCAATTTTCTACTTTTTTTCATTTTTATAGGAAATACAGGAAAATTCATCGAAATATAGGAGAAAAAATAGGAATTTTTTTAAATATAGGAAATATAGGACGAATCCGAGGCCAGATTGATAACAACTGAATATCTACCATGAATGAGATGTTAAATAGAAAGTCTACGACAAGCAATGTTCAGTATAGTTAATTCAATTCTTTGTAAATAAAACATATTGTAAATGAATGCATTCTATGAGACCGTGCACAACGAGTATTAAGTTGTTAGTGAGATATTATCACTGCAACTATTGACAACTGTATGAAACTATCACAGAACTAATATGATAGTTAACATTGAATAGTTGCCGAGGAACTTAATGCGATGAATAAATTACAATAGAATATCATCGTTTCTATTAAGATTTTGAAAAAAATAAATCCTATTTTTCAATCAATATTCATTGGAGGAAAAACTATCGACATATATTTATAACTCCCATATCAATACCACTTGAATCTGAAATGTTCTTGTCAGTAGTGTAAATGCTAAACTTCCATAATTGGTAGCCGAGAAGTATAAATCTCATCATGAAGAAGTGCATGGTAAAGTGTGAGTATATCATCAACTGCTGATGACAATGAATGTTCAGGAACAAGACGATAGTCCAAATGAATTACAGTGATATCGAAAAGTCAAGAAAAATCACATTCAAGACCACTATAGATATAGACTAGTAAACAAAATACAAAATTTGCATATTTACATAGGATTGACAGCAATAATGTAATAACTATCTTACATGATACTCCCTATTTTTCTTTTCATCAGTCAAGGTATTCATGCTTACCTGCCTTGCACATCGCCGACTGTGTAACCTCCACCAATCAGATAAATGATGATTCTATCAGTATTTTATTTTGGTTTAGCTCTTTCATGATGAATCCAATGTGCATCAACTGTGTGTCCTCCGTTTTCATATGCATGTTTGTCTGCGTGGCATGAAAATGAACGAGGAACAATTGTATCAAGTGGAAAGGATGCACGTATATTTTTCGCTTGCTTTAGCGGATCCAGATTTGGATCGATTTGAAAGAGAGGTCTTCCTCAAAGCATACTTTCAAGTGCTCGATATTCGGGACTCAACATAGGTCTGTTTGTATCGGGCACGAAACTATTTTTAATTGATATTAAAGAGTGTAAAATGTGTAGCCCCAAATATTTTGGATTTGTTGAATTATAACAAATCAGAATGACTATGACTGGAAACGCAACCAATACGGCTAGTTTTTTTTTTATAATTGAAAAGAGGCAATTAAAAAATGCTAGGCTGTTGAAATATGTGACAAGACGAGTAAAGCTGCCTTTTGTGAATAAACACTTTTTGATAAACGTAAACGAAAACAGAACTGTCAATGTGTATTTATTGCGTTGGCATTTTCTTTTATCATACAACATCTAGCCTAGATAAAAACACACAATTGTATACGAAGGATGATAAGGACAAATTACAGCGCAACCAATTTGTCACTGAAATAATAAAGAACCTTCAATTCATCGGCTCTTATACTGTATGATAGGCAAACTCTATAGAGGGAGTGTACACAGAGAGCTACAGCTACATGGGAATCTTTATTTTTATCGATTTCGATATTTTTGATATCATTTTTTTTATTCTATTCAAAACTGAACATCATCAAACAATAAGTTAATAATGATGCTCATTCTAATTCTTGATAGATTTAATAGATAATATTACAAAGAACAAAGTATAGCACTCACAACGATAATAATAGATAAACTATCTGAATGCTTTCTTTCACTGTGTCTTTTTAATCAACATTTTATCAATGGAAAATAATATAAGCTACGGTAGAATAATCTAGATGATACTAGAGCTATTGGAACTTGCTTGTTTAACAACACTTGAATAGCCCCGTCCTTGGTTGTTCTCTCGTTTATTGATTCTTGCCTTCTAAAATTCGAAAAAAAAAATAATATAATTTAGTCTCTTATGCCAGTATTAGTCTATGAAGACGTTAAGGAGAAAAACAAAACAAAATTATTAAACGACTAGTGATGATTGCAACAATCCTAAATTTCTAATTTACTTACATTTTATGCTGCACAAAGCTGATTCAATTAAATGGGATCTTCCAGTTAGCTTTGTTTCATTTTAATTGCTTGAGCCAATCCTCGTCGGTGTAATGAAAGATATCGCATTTCTACTAAAGCCTTTTCTTTTATCATCATGCTGTTTCTGATATCATTCATTTACCGTCTCAAACTAACACGAATAAGACAGAAAATATAGAGAATCGTACGAGGAATAAGTGGCGGTTATGTGAAAAGTCAGATCAGAATAATGAATTTTAAATCGATTTCTACGCGGTTAAAAATCAATTCTAATCAAAGCGTGACCAAAACCATCGAGTTTTTATTGATCGTTTTGATTATTTTTGATTAAAGTCGATATAGTAAGCACAAAGAAATTGCAGATGAGTTATTCAGAAGTGAAACAGCTGCACTCAATTTCTATAGTGTTTTCGAATAAAGCAATATTCATTGAAAGCATTGCTTATACCAAATATTAAATCGATTTTAAACAAAAAGAGTGAAAATAATCAATAAAATCTGAACATTTATTCATCAAAATCAATCAACGATACATGCTTTTTTCTGTTGATTTTACACAATTCTTATATGTAATGGCAACAAAAACAATTGGATTCTATCTTTATTATTTTGAATAACTTCTGTTTCGACCAAATACAACATCCAGTAGCTACAATACGAGACTTGGTCACTTACGTTTGGTTCGTCACCAATGGAATTGATGATTTGACTTAAAATCCTACGTCGCTGCAGTTGTTCTTTATCACAAAATTAAAGAGAAATAAGATCGATACCAATTATGAAATGAATGCATCTAATTTTTACTCCTTGAATATAGGAAAGAACATCGTAATATTCATTAGTATTTGTAAGAAGCTAATTGCATAATTAAACAAAGACTCCATGGTGCACATTTTTGTTCCTCGTATATATCACCATTGCCAAATAACGTAAATCAGTTCCCTGAAACCTATAAACACAACAAATGTACAACATGAAGATCAACGTCCACAATCCATCTGATCAAAAGTATTCAACAAATATATTCAATGAAAGCGAATATTATTTAGAGTATTTTAATTGGCACGAACTTCTTTTCATCTATGATGAGAATCTGTATGATGTGAATCATAATTTTGTATATCAAAGGTAGGTACTCGGTTAAATACTTGAATGAACAAAGACTATTGCGCCTGCAATATTTCTTATATTGAATACTGTGATTCAATATGTTTTTTGCTTTCTCTACAAGATACTTACCAGCAGTTCCAATGTTTTCTTTTATGTAATAAAAGAAAAACTATATGGGTCGGAGTGACGTAAATTCGACATATTCATAGGTGACTCGAAAAAACTACATTCTTTTCGTGTCCAAAGTGAAAATAAATACTTTAATGAGAACTTCTGGTAATCTACACCATCGTCTTCGCTAGAAAACTTTATAGTTTTAAAAATCATCCGAATGAGAAATCTCTAACGATCACACACAGAAAAATTATCTTTTTCATTCGTGTCAAGTATGACTTAAACTATTTACATAAAAACAAATTGCTGAAATATATTTTCGCTCTTGTAATCATGATCAAGATTGTAACGGGGAGAGTGTTACAAGAATAGAAAATTGCTCTTTTCACCCGGAGAACGTTTCCATTCACTACTGTACATGATGAGATCCAATATTTGGTGCTATATTAGTTGTATTATATCTAAAATTCACTGTTTAAAGTTTCTTAATAATTGCCCTTTGTCGATGAAATGAGTTCATAGCTTCTCATATTGTTAACCAACAGATTACATTCTTATTTTTGAGAAAAATTAAACATACTTTTTCGAACGTTTCGAATATGTTCGACTCTTTTTACTCGTTTGTGACCCAGATATCGTAAAGAAAAATGAACTCCGTAATTGTCTCTCTTCGTTTTAAGCAATAAAAAAGGAAATATTCCATTGCAATATGAAATTGAAACAAAAAGTATGAATAGGGGTGTCAATTTACATTTTATTTAATTTAAATTTAACTTCTTGAAAAGTTAATTTAATTTTAAATTAAATTCTATTAAGTTAAATTTAAAATAAATTTAAATTCTTCTGATGCAAAAATTTAAATTTAAATAAAATTTAAATTTTCAGAATTTAAATTTAATTTAAATTAACTTTTTGAAAATTTAATTCTCGATTTAATAAATTTTTTTAAATTTAAATTTTAAATTTAATAAATTGTTTGGATGGATACACATCATGGCTACGAGAAAAATACGTGACTTTAACAATATTAAATACAAAATGAGAAGAAAACCTAGTATTTCAGGTTAATATTTATTCATAATAGTCAAAAATTCTGTACAGATGATGCAGGATCCGTTATCTTTCTTCTTCAAAATACTAGGATACTCATAAAAATATATTTAATAGCACAATTTATAGAAGAATGACTAGTTTAACTTTAGAAAACAGGAAACATACTCGAATTTGATTTTAAATAGTAGCAATCAAGTCAAAAACTATGTTTTTCTACTCGTTTGCAAAATTTAACTAATTTGAATTTGAAACAATTTAATTTAAATTTAGTTAAATTTAAATGATACAAAATTTAAAATTTAATTAAATTTAAATTTAACGTTTCATTTGAAAAAAAGTTAATTTATTTTAAATTTAAATTTTTGAAAATTTATTTCTTGATTTAATAAATTTTTTTAAATTTAAATGTGACACCCCTAAGTATGAACAATAATATGATTCTTTAGCGTTGAGACAGATTTTTGAAGAGGTTGATGATCATGTCGAAATGATTGTTAAATAACCTATTTCATATTACTGTAGTGAGTTTCATACTTTGATTTTAAAAAGATGCGCTATCAAGTTTTTTCATGAAGTATACGCCGGAACATAGTTTAGGCCGAAGTTGTTACAATGATTGAAATTTTTTAACCGAAACGCAGCTCAGTCAAGAAACACTATTTTCCATTAACATCTTTTTCAAAGAATCTATGCATTTCTTAGTTTTCTTTGAATTATCCAAAATAGACGATGGAATATTTAATTATCTGTTAGCTTTATCAACTTAGTTACATCACACCAACAAATGTTGCACGAGTGGCGTTATTCGATTTAATGAGAAGACGCATTCGATTAACAGGTTTTTGTGAAGAAAATAGCTTGAGTTATTTTCTATTTTAAGTTTGCAAATGAGTTATTGCTACCCACTAACCACATATTACCACATTCGGATGTGATGATATTGCTATAGAGAAACCGACAATGTTTGTGATATAGGTCTCAGCTTGTTACAGCGTTTTTACAGCTCTGTTTGATGGATAAATGCGCTCTTAATGTTGTGCCTTTCTGGCTGTACATTGTGATACTTGAGTTTAGAATAGCGATTGTTTTCTCCTGTATATTTTCCTGTAGCGATTTTTTAGAACACAGTAAGCGTACTATTGAAGTTCTCGGATTCCAACAATATGCTTCAATAAAGTCAACATAAAATATGATTCAGATGAGGACAGAAGCTTAATATATTAATGTAAAAGTTATCGAATTGAAAAAGCTCCTTTAAACGTTATTGTCAAAATTTGAAAGGAGCAAAGTGTATAATGAAAAATTGGCAAAATACATGCCGTAATTCCCTCTACGTATCTGGTATAAAAATCATCAGAAGTTTAGGAATAAATCTTTTTCAAGTGTCAAGATTTAATAAGAAGTATGAACCGATTTTTGTTTCGATCTGTATTTTCTTGCACAAATCAATTTCGCTCTAAATCAATACCCGCAACGAAATTTGTTTATCTCTTGAGAATCATTAGCACAATATGTTTCGAAGAGTTTTAAGATGTTATAGTCGCCATTTAATAGCAAATAGTTGAAGAATACGTCATATTCGATGGATGCATACCTTTGAATCCTCCTATCAAAGAATGCTATGAGATGTATAATGTGAACAATCATCTACCATGAGCATTGACTTTTACACATCTCTCGTTATCCAAATAAAACATCTATCGTAATTAATATCGATCATGAATAACCATCGATTGAAGATGAAAGCTATAGTTCAATATTTTGATAAACGAATGACAGATAAAATAATGCACATACTGATACTGAGCCTTATTGACGGATTTTACTCACAGCTATGTGGCATCTATTTGTATAACTGTATCAGAATCAAACATGTTCAAGATTCCAGTTTAATCGAACGAAAAATTACAAAAGAAACTGGTGATTTTCGGTCTGGAATAGTCATCAGTCTAAGTGATAATACTTTTTTCAGCACATTGAGTTTTGGTACTAATCCATGATTGTTTGCCTGTAGTTCTTTTTTCACTAAGCTGTCAAACGGCAGAAAAATTGATAATTTTTAAAGAGATCAGGATCATATTACTACACAAAAACCATCATACACGCGGCTGATGTGTGAATCGATAATTTTTTTTATCGAGTTTTACTAAAAATAACTAATTGAATCTCATGTTCGCCATTTATCTTAACTACTTGTTCTTATCGATATCACGCATTATTTTATCTTTGAAATATAATACATCCACTGTTAACTCAAAGATTAACCAGACAAAAATCTTGTGTTACGTGTACTAATTAATGTTCTAAAATACACCCGCGAAGAACTATATATAGTCAATTGAGGCTAATGGGAAAACGGACACCGACCCTCTCTAACGAAGCATACCTTCTGGTGATACAATACCGACCGAATTGATTTGTTCAATAGTATTCGAAACATTTTTGCTGAAATGTTCAATAATTCAATGAAATACAAGTCATTCATACGAGCAGTTTTATTCTTCATCAGTGTTATTCATTTGACAATGTTCGACGTCCAAGCAGCAGCATTAAATCCTTGTGGAAGTCTCGGTTCTCAAGAAAACATTCTTCAATTGATACAAGAACAAAAGCTGGTCACTTCTTTTGTGGATTCGTCGTCGTAAGTATTTGGTGTTTTCGTGTGGAACGGTTTTAAGATTTAATTCATCTTCGTCGTTCTCTTCGGACTTGTTGGAGATAGAAAATATTTTAAAGAATTTTTTAACTTATCACATAATAACCTGTTCTTCTATTTCTGATACGTATACTAGGTATTAGAGTAATCGAATTGCACGAATTTTATGAGTTTTCAACTAGAATAGCTTGCTAACGCGCAGAGTCATGTATTTCTTACAAGATGGTATGACCAAATCAGAAATATTTTACTTGAATTATACTGTTTCATTGACCACTGTTTTCATGTTCTCGTTCTAAACGATGAGATAGATACGATTATTAAATTCTTCCAATTTTTTGTTCGCTCATGTTGTTCTTAACACAAAAATACTGAGTAAAACGTCTGATACATATACTATAGATAAAATATTGTATTTATAATGATCGATACATATTGACTGGCTCACTAAACGTTTTACTTCCATTTTAGTCGAATTACAGATATTTTTCCTTTATATTTTTCATCAAACGATGTACTCAAGTATTCTCTACAATATTGCTTTGATGATTTTTCTCATTAGCATTCCTATACGATATACATTAGATCTGAGAAGTATCTTTACCTGACGTACATCTAAAATCTTCGAACATAAATATATTACTGTTGATAGTGATTGAAGGTGCGCCGCTCTCGATATTGTGGGTATAAGTTGACTATGGGCTATGTGTTCCATGAAATATTCAACATTTTCAACTTACAATTAGACACTACAATGTTTAGTTATTCTCAAAAAATAGGGAGTTCTTTAAAAACTCTATTGTCTATTAGATTCTTTTAGAGCTGTCAGCATTGATTAATAAAGTAAAAGTTTATTTTACTGTCACATTTGTCATCACATCATTGATCGCGCCCAAAATAATAATTACTATAGAGTACACGAAATAAATAAATTAGATGTACTAAATTTTGACCTCCGTAGTAACAGTTCATTACATCGATGATTTGAAAAGGTAGACACTTAGAATTACATATACTAGCTGTTGTTAGCTAAAAATCAACCTAAATTTAAGTTTTTAGAACTACTAAAATAAAGTGACAATTGAGACAAGATTATAGATCCAAATTTAAACTTACATATATGTTGTTACGTTTAGGTATAGTCAAGTCGAGACCCTTCCTGATCGTTTCGAAACATCTGATGTTGTGTTGCGTCGTGATAACCAAGTGGTTTTCGCAGTTTTCGACAATTCATTTCATGTTGGCGCCTTTTGCACACCATTTGGTCGATCTCTCAACTGTACCGACCAGTTGCTTGCCTGGCCCGATGCATCATTGGCCACGAAACAATCCGGTTTCGAAGGAATTACCTATAACCCCATCGACGATACCTATTTCATCGCACAAGAAGCAATCAAAACTGACACAAAAAAAGTTTTTCGGGCGAATATTTTTGAGACTCGTATCGTTTCCACAGATTCAATACCAATTCGTGTGCTTGAGTCTTGTATAGTCAATTGGGACTTCGCATCGGATAATAAAGGTATTGAAGGTCTCGAGTTCGTTAGTCATCAAGGCACTGGTAAGAGTTATCTGTTGGGATTATGCGAAGCTAATGAGTGCAATCATAAATCAACATCAGACAATGATGGACGCATTTTAGTGCTTGAAAAGAAGGAAGCTAACAAGAAAAGTAAAGAGAATTATTTTAAAAAGAACTATACTATGAGGAAATTTTTCAGATAGTTGCAGTTGGGAGCCAGTAGGCACAATTGCAATGCCCGCATGGGTCCATTTCGACGATTATTCGGCGCTGTCAATTTACCATCGAAAAGCAATTGATTTACCAGCCTATGTTGCAGTGACCAGTCAAGAGAGGAGTCAAGTATGGGTCGGTATGATTGAAGAGATCAATCAAGCACCTTTCTTTTCACTTTCATCATTAAATAATAATACCATTTATGATCTGCCAAGAACATCTGATGCAACACCAGAATGTGGAATGAAATATTGCAATATAGAAGGTGTAGCATGGCAAGGCGGAAACGAACTCATTTTGGTGTCTGACAAAACGAAATCTGATCAAGATACTCAATGCATCGAGAAAGATCAAAGTGTACACTATTTCTTCTTGCCTTAAAACTTGTCAAACTAAAAGAAAACATCCTAATTTTGAATTTATTATAATAGTGTGTCTACTTCAATGAAATAAAGATTTGAGAAATAATATTTTATCTTGATAATGTTCTTTTATTTCAATCGAAATTTCATTTAAAATAAAGCGGTTCATTCACGAAAGTTCTACACTGAAAAAAGATGATGCCAAACGAATCCTATGAGGTTTCGTTGAACGTAATAGAATATAATTAGATATCGCACCAGCTCACAAAACTATTTTAAAGTTTAGCAACCAAAGAGGTTCCGTAAAAATACTCTTTTGATTTTTGTCAAGCAAAAAGGTTGCGTAAAATACTTTTTTCCCTGTACATTTGTGTTGCTAACAGATATTCACTAATCAGAAAATTGTCCTGTCTTAATTATTTCATACGTTTTACTTATCTATCATTCACTTTGTAATCCAGTTTCAATATTGTATCACTGTAGTTTTGAGCTCGTACGTTTTCGTGACGACCTCTTTCTAGAAAAAAGCACAGATGAGCTCCACTAATATGACAATGAGCTTAAAGATTTTCCTCGATGAAAAATACTGTCTATCCCTCCAACGTCACTTTATGCTTCCATTTCACGAATTAATACGCTCCTCAGTTTTGTTCCAGTTTTCGCGCTGCTTACTATTTTAAATCGTTGATTATTCAAACCACAAACTTGTTAAATCAATTAAATCAATTAGTTTCGCGTCATTTTATCTAGCTGGATATCTGATTAGTTCGGAACAAAATGATACATTCCATTATGGATTTAACTTAGTCAGTGCCAAAATACACAGAAACACACAAGAGTATATCAGTGTATGGACACAGATATAAGAGATGCACATAAACTGAAGGGGATCTGGATAGATATTGAGAACTTTAAGAATATGTATGAAGTCAAGGATGGATACAGGTGATTCGATATATATATATATGCTTCAAATAAATATAAGTTTTAAGAGTTACATATAGGTTTAAAGTGTTGAAATAATACATATAAAAGATTTGACAATCAATGTCGCCTTAACAAAACAATCCAGTTCTGTTTTCAGGCTTCAACTGAATACATATATCTGCCAATAACTAATATTGAAAAGGCAAGTGTTTATATTATGTTAATGCTAAACTAATACGAATGCTGAAGTATTAAGTTACCGTTTTAACACAAATACAAGAGCATTACATTATTTCTTCATAGCCAAATACAAAAGTTTTGAAAACTTTTTCATATTCACTCTAAATCCACGTGCCCAATGCGGATACTGGTCAGAATTTAGACAGAGCTATAAGGATTTATATGCACTTTTAGAAGGGTGGTTATAGATAGAAGGAGTTCGATGTCGAGTTCAGAGATTAAGCATAGAATGACAGCTCACGATAAACAGAAAGCACTGAGTATACAGTTTAGAGGTTAAATACAGAATTTTGACTTCAAGATAAAAAAATGAATAAGAGGTAAGGACATAAATAAGGAATTACTCTTTAAAAGTAGCCATTTCATAGAAAACTGAAGATCTCTCGGACGCTCTGTTGCAAACTTTTCGAAGTTTTTGAGACGGGTTCTGAAGACTCAGAAATCCATAGGTTTTCTATAGTTCGCATCGATATAAACATAGCACCTGTAAGCAATGCAAGTCTTGATTAATGTTCTGAATACATCACTACCATAGTGCACTCTTATATCCGTTTCGAAAATTCTTCTTTCGATAATGCTACTTAATGCATATGTCATACTTAACATCAAGTTTCAATCAATCAACTTCATAAAAAAAAGTGATCATTGGCATTCTAAATAGTAAGCTTATTTATATTGAATTGGGTGGTTTTATTAATCAATTTAAAGAGTACCATATGGAATAGATAGTCATTTTTAACAAGTTTTCCATCCGTTTAATCCAAGACGCGTACGAATATCTCGTAGTTGACCACCATTTATTTCTCTTACTTGTACATGTAAATGAACACCAGTTGAATGACCAGATGTGCCCATCAAACCAATTTTTTGTGCACGCGCAACACGTTGTCCAACGGATACAGTTATTGAGCCCGATGTCATGTGACAATACAAAACTTTAACGGTATTATGTTGAATTTCAACAAAATTGCCACATGATCCACATTTACTCTGATCAAAATCACCAGCACCATTACAAACTCCAATAACTGTTCCATCCCAAATAGTATACAGATTAACACGTTTAGCACTATATGATCCAATATCAACTCCTTGATGGCCAGCATGAAATCCTTGTGTCACACATGCCTCACCATATGCAACAGGTGGAAAATGTTCTTGTCCATATACTAAAATATGATTGAGATCATGCTAATTAATTAATCTTTTTTGTAGTCTTAAAGCGGGACTAACCGATACCGATGGCAATCGCGAAAGTAATCAAAACTCGATACATGATAATAAATTTAAAAAAGTAGGGAATCTAACTAACATTGAAATGAAAACTATACGGTGTTATATACTCAAAATAACGGACATGGTGGGCACGCTTATAAAAAGAGACAACACACCTGTTATATTATTCTAAATAGGATAATACATGAGAAATGTGTCATGTGGTATCGTATTTCGTTTTTATCTATCAATATATGAATAGAAAAACAGACAGAGGAGCACCTGACCTCTTTATTATTGAGAATCTGAAGTTATTTGCTGTGCTTCCTTTTTTAAAATTTTAGCTTATTACTCTAAGTCAGGTTCTATAAAAAAGAAAATATCGCTTACAGTATATATTTTTTTTTGATTTGCATTATCATTTAACGATAGTAGTCTAACGGTTATTAGTTTTTTAAAATTTCAAAAAATATCAAGCAGAACAGTGGTATCCAAATGCATGATATAGATCGATAGTTATAACTGAATGCTACGTCTAGGAAAAGATACTCTAATTTTTGTATTATATGCATAATCTAGAGAGTGATTAATCAACTCCAAAACGTAGTATCAATTAAATATCTGGTAGCTGTTGAGCTATGAAAACTATCCAACAGTATTGACTCGCAATTATATTTCATATGAAATAATTACAAACCAGAGTCAATGATCATCGTAATATAGCTCGTGTTGTAGATGATTCATGTTTGAGATGTTATTTTAAGAAATTAACTTTTGTATTAAATTGAAAATTTTATTCGGCTACCCTTATCATCAAAATTCATCAGAAGCTTTATATTGTTTATAAATAATTTTACAAGAGGAGTTATTTTTCTATGTGACAATCAGTATGTAAAATACAACAATACAAACATATTGTTCTATTTCTACAATGAATCAAGATCATTTGATAATTACGTATAGATACATCGATCGTCACAAAAAAAAATTTTAAATCATGAAGAAATTGATTTATTTTTTTACCAATTGCGATACAGATTACTCCATTACACTCATGAAATGAACAATACATAAATATGTGTTTTTGAACTTGCCAATTTTATTTATAATACGAACCAAAATGTAACTTACTTGTTTTGCTACTATATAAACTATTCACTTATCACATGTATTATGAAATAAATGAGCCATGCCTTTATGTAAAAAGCAATGAAAATAAACGCTGTCATTTAATTTTTGGTTAAAGTTCTTTTTCTTACTGTTGCAAGCGAACTTCTTTTCTTTTCTTTTCTTTTCCTCCCAACACAAAATCAGAGCAAATATTGACCAAGAAACCTTCATCATGCACTCTTTCTTCAACAAACGCACCGGATTTTTTTCTTTATTCGTTCTGTTTATGTTTTTACAGCAAATGCTCCACGAGAAAAAAATCTTACCTTAAATAGTATTGAAGGAACGAGCACTCTTACTTTCAGTGTTCTTTTCACGAAATTTCTTTGAAAGAGATATAGGAAAAAAAACAAGCATTTTCATAAAATTTACTCCATGGCTGCAGTTTCATGGAAGGCTATTGAGAATAATGAAAATCTCGAAGTCTATTGTTTAATTTGGCTAGATGTCTCTGTGAATAGCTCTCGAGAAAATATTCAAGCTCAACAGCGATTACTAAAGGTAATCAATCATGTATTAACATTTGATGATGATCAACAATGTCTTCATTATATTAAAAATCTCTCGGAAGATGATCGAATTATTCTAGTTGTTAGTGGGAAATTTGGCCGAAGTATTGTACCTAAAATAGCTAATATGCAACAGATCAGTTCAATTTATGTTTATTGTTTTGATAAAAAAGGGAATGAACAGTGGTCACAGCATTTTCCAAAAGTAAAACCATTTTTTGTTTTAAAATTTCTTTTTCAATGCTTTGCTTAGGTGAAAGGTGTAGTAAATCAATTGAATGAACTTTTTCTACTCGTCGAAGAAGATTATTCTTTACAGCAACTTGATAAAATCGACGAGCAATTGTCCATTAAAGTTTTTGATGATAGACAAATATCAAGTGATTCTGCCTATGAACAATTTCTTCATTCACAGTTATTGATCGATTGTCTTATTCGAATGTCATCATCATCGAACAGTAAAAATGAACTTATTGATTTTTGTAAACAATATTACAGAAAGAACTATACTGATATAATGAATATTAAAGAATTCGAAAATAATTATTCTTCAGAAAAGGCATTATGGTGGTATACCAAACATTCGTTTCTTTCTCGACTGCTGAACAAGGCATTGCGTGATCAAAATATTAATCTGTTGTTTTTATTTCGATTTTTCATTCGTGATATTGGTTGTCAATTGGGCAAAGATAAATGCTCGTCAACAATTCGTGCTTATCGAAGTCAATTAATGTCGAGAGAAAAATTAGAAATATTACAAAGCTCAGTTGGAAAATTTATTTCAATAAACTCATTTCTATCGGCAAATATCGATCAAGGAAAAACTCGATCATCGCTTCATTTGCATAGTTCTTCACCAGAGATGGAAAAAGTTTTCTTTGTAATTGAAGCCAGTTCAAACTTGTGCAATGTGAGACCGTTTAATAATATTGAACCTCATAGTTATTTTCCAAAGACAAACCAAATACTTTTCATGGTTGGATCAATATTTCGTATCGATAGAATTGAGTATCCTCAGGATAAAATTTTGAATATTCGAATAAGTTTATGTTCAATAAATGATCAAGATTTAAAACCGTTCTCTGAACATATGCATAATGCATTGTATATTGGACAAACAAGTCTTATGCAATTTAGTAATATTCTTCGTCGGATGAACAAATTTGACGAGGCCGAAAAATATTACCGTCGTTATCTTAATCAACTACCTATTGGTCATCCTGATATTGCTAATTGTTATCATGCATTCGGCAAGATAGCAGAATCGAGAAAGAATTTTCCATCCAGTCTAAAGTGGTTTAAGAAATCACTGGAAATATATTCACAAATATCAAAACCAGATGATACTTTTACTGCTGAGGTGTATAATGACATTGCTACGATTTATTTGAAAACAAATGATTACACGAAGGCAATAAAATTGTATCAGAATGCGTTGGATATTTGGAAGACATCTGACGATAATAATCGTCCTCGTATAGTACTATGTTTAAACAACATCGGTTTTGTCTATCAAATGAAGAAAAAATATTCAGAAGCACTCGAATATTATCAACAAGCATTAAAAATTTCAAAGAAAATTCATCATGAAAAGCATCCTGATATTGCCATGGCTTATCGAAACAGAGCTCAAATTTATGAATTAATTGGTGAATACCAACAAGCACTAGCTTCGTATGAAAAAGCGATAAAAATCTATCGTTACTCGTTACCTGCAACTCAAATTCATGTCAATGAAATTGAGAAAAGTATACGACAAGTTTCATCTAAATTAAAATAGCTATTTTATGTTTGTTTTGTTTTGTTTTGGTATAGAATTTCAGAGATTAATTTTTAGTCGAATCAATCAGAATAATTATTTCATATCAATAAAAAGTTGTTTATTGAATTCTTTTATGTGTATTTCTCAAGAAAAAAAGAATAAATGTGAAATGATTAATACTGTTGAAATCAAATGAAACAAGAAGAATTACCTTCCATTCATGAATTGAAAATTTACGAAATTCAAGTAAATTAAATGCAACTCCGTGTTTGAAGCACCATAATCTGGATGTTGGGTGACAGTTCTTATAGATACATTAATGAAGCTTCATGTGACAATCCTTTTAGCTCTCTCTCTCTCACTGGAGAATGCATCCTATTCCGCAATGTTGAACATTCCGGAACCAATTCCATCTAATTCCCGAAATTCCGTTTATCACTTCCAACACAATTCCGGAATTCCCGGAATCACTGCCGACCAATTTTATCTAATTCCCGGAATTCCGGACCGGAAGCGGATCATCACGAAATGGGTAAGACAAACTAGAATAGTGATACAAGTTGCAATTTCGGAATTATTCGGAATTCCCAGTGACTCCTCTTTCACCTAATTCCGGAATCGGATAAACCAATTCCGGAATCGACGGAACGGATTCCGGGGGCGGAACTGGTTCCGAAATGTTCAACATTGCGGAATAGGATCACTGCTCTCTCACTGTAGAAATCTCTGGACTTCGTTGAATCTGCAATTTCTATCTGATGAATACTTTGGGGTGAGTAACTGTCTAATTCGACATCGAATATACATGAGACATTAAAAACACTAACTACAGTCATAACGTTATTTTGATAGCTCTAAAGAAAAAGAAATAGTTCTATGGTTTAAAAAGTTATAAATTCGAAACGATCTCTGCAGAATGCTACGAGGATCACCTGAATCGCTACAAGCTTCAACTACATTGCTGTTAGTTGTGTGTGCGTGAATTTAGCGTCGTGCGTCGTCATGCCTTTCACCCACATCTCTAGTGGAAGTCGTCAGTTGATTTTTGCTGTAGCCGACGTATTTTTCAGCTGACGGCTTACACTTCTAATATCGAGGGATCCCTTAAAATTCCTTCTGGATATTCATACTCTTGACATACGTCCCACATTTTGGGGGCGCACAATTCGAGGTGTAGGATTAGATTTCCCGTGATACTCACACATTGATTCCAAGTTATGCCTAATTATAACATTTCTTTTGATGCTCGAAGCATCATGACGAGTGTGTTTCAAATTTATAAATTCACAAATTATAATGCCATTTCTTTTTCTATTTCTACTTTTCAACAGAGTTGCGTCGCTAACTAAAGTTTTTCCTTTTCTCTTTGTGTTGTTTAATTTAATTGTATTTTCCAAACACATATCGCTGAATAGCTCAGACAGTTTCACATTATCAATTCAATAAGCATGATTAAAATTAAAATAAATAGTCAAAAATATTTGTAATCGAGCAGCCTCCCAGTCAGTACACAACATAAAATTTACTTGTTTGTAATAATTATAGTTTTTGCTTCTAGTCATGATCACGTACTAATGTGTTATAATTCTGAAAACACTTCTAAATTTGGAAATTAATGACAATATAGAGAATCATAATTGTATGTGAGTCAATAGAGAACATTTCTACCTTCTTAGTTGTGCTAATCAATTTCAAATTTCAATGTCTCATAAAAGTGGACCGATAGGATTTTTTAGCATGAAAATGATTAAAACTACAAGATGATGAATTCATAGATTCATCATCAATTGCATTTATTTTTGAATTAATGAAAATTAAATGGTCTTTCGAAATCTCTGACATTGCTTTCATATTAATTACTATAAATTTATTTTTACTGATTCTAGCATTCTTGAAAAAAATACATTACTTTTACTCATTTTTTCCCAATATTTCGATGTCAATTTATGGTATAAAAATTAGTGACATCTTTAGTTGTTGTTGTTGTTGTTGTTGTTGTTGTTGTTGCTTTTTTAAATAAATCTCTGCTCTCTACCATTTTGACTAAGTAGGTAAGACTTGACTGCACTCAGTATCCGATTGAGCACAGGAGTTTGGTTTATCTTCATAAGAAAAAAAGATTCGCTCTCATGTTGTGATTGAGAATGTAATAGTTTATAGTGTCTATCCCTTCATTTTATGATCTGGAAAAGTTTGTTAGCGCAGCCCCTTTGGGGCTAAAATGTGGAACTTACGCATATCCCTTAGGCTTACTAAAATATGTGAGTTCCACAAAAGATAAATATTATTTGTATCACAGAATTACGAATAGAAACTATTTGTTTTCTAGCTCAGCATTCGACAGGACAGTGTGAAATCATTTTTTCCTTCTTCTTCCTACTGCGCTCCTAGGTAAATATCAGACCATGCACGAGACTTCACTGCTTTTTTTCTTTTTCTCTAACATCAGATTTTTTTACAATATTTTTTACGATAAAAACTACTGAGAAGAAATCTAATTTTTTTATCAAAACAAAATTTTATTTTAAGCATGAATGACGATCCTGTTCAAAATGGTTTAGAAAAAATTCTCTCACAAGATATCAATGATGAATTGTCAGTTATTGATCAAATTGAGAAGCTAATCAAAAAATTTGGTATCGAGAAAATTGAAGCATGGCGAAATTCCGTTAAAACAAGAAATACATTATTACATGAACTGGTCGAAAAAAAATGTCCAACTGTCATTCAATATCTATTAGCCAAATATAGCTTAGATCGTACAGTTCACCGTGAAGCAGACGGTAAAACGCCTATTGAATTAGCTCAAGCCAAAGGATATGAAGACATAGTAGATGCATTGGCAGAATCCGACGAAAAAAAACCCATAGCAGAAACTCCAGACGATGACGAATCTGAACCAAACAAAAAGAACAGGATGAACATTGTCTGGATCGATCTAGAAATGACATCTATTGAGCATCCCAAAATCATGGAATGTGCTGTTATTATTACAGATAAAAACATGAATGAAATAGAGCGAGGTAAAAAGCTTTCATTCTAGAAAGGCATTGAAATTTTCAAAATATCAGCTTTAAATTAAAACATAATTCCTACCTCGTGTTTATAGTAGCCAATTTTTTCGAAAAACGTTTCAAATATCTTTTTAAAGTGAGCTATCAACTGGTTCTCTAAAGAAAAAATTTAGTCTATTTCTTTCAGCTTGTCATTCAAAACATTAACTAAATCAAACGATAGTTATTTACTATTAAAGTTTCTCTAGTATTCTGCCATACCCAGGTCGAGCAGCCCGGCCTGGAAACGGCCGGTTCCGAGTAGTTCCGTTGTTTTTGTGGAAGCAGTATTCCGACTGGAAAATTTTTCGGTGATTTTCGATCAATTCCTGCCGGAAAGCACCGGAACTTGGCAGGAATCCGCCGGAAAAGTTCGACCGTATTTTTGATCGGAATACTGCTTCCATGTTCCAGCGATTTTCCATGTTTTCCTGCAGGATATAGTGACTTTCCTACATATTTCCCAGAGTATCCTACAGGATTCGGTGGCCGGATTGTGCGACCTGAGATGTCCCCAAAATCACCACGTTTTAGGCGATTAACCGTGAGATTTTATAGCGATAAATTGTCGATTTTCACTTAACTTTTCAGAATGGGTAATATTATGGGAAATTACATAATATCATGTATCTTGTCGTCATGCTATATCTGTAGCTCTATCGGTTTCGATGCTCAAGCTATTTGGCTCTGTTATTCGCACTTTTTCTATAGACTATTTTTGTTACCCGCTGATTCCGCTCTTTTTGTAGAACAAGAAGTATAACGAAAATGAGCTTCAGAAGATCCTATGATAAGCAGCCTGGTGTAATTTACCTATTTCGTCAAAATCGTATCGTTGATTTTTTGGGAAAATTGGCGATTTCGTCGCGATTTTCATGACATGGGTAGAACTTGGTCTTTTCTTTGAGTACATCTTTTCATCCATGTAACACAGCAGTTTGTCAATCTTTGAATAATAGTTGTTAGTTGTCAAAAAAGTAGAACAGAAACTTTTGACTTTGAAAGTTCTACAGTTCTAGTGTTCCTTTGTCTCAAAAATCGAGCTCATTCTCATAAAATAATCTTGCTTAAAAACTCAGGATAAAAACAAATATGTGACGATTTCGTACAGCATAAATAATAGAAATAGATAAGTGGGTAAAAGAAATTTTTTATTTCGCCTTTAAGGATTTGCAAGAACTAACCCTGCAATTATTCAGTAGTTACGCAATTTGTTATTCATACAACAAAGACTAAATTGAAGATTTAGTATCATGGGTCATGCAATGATTCTGACTAACTTATGAAGAAATGTTTGCCTCTGATAAACTGTTTACTACTAATATAATTGACTAATTGCGAAAAACACTTGCTCTCAAGACTATAGTATTTGGTTAGAGTGCATTCCCTCCAACCTTAGATGTTGCACTGAATTCAGTCGTGTCTGTCGGCAATATATTGCACTGACGATTCTGTTACTACGTTTCACTGAATGCTACATGTTAAACAAAAAGTGAAAGTGTTCTACATAATTGCCCATGTAATAAAAGCCGGAAGAAAACCGACAGTTTACCGCTAATGTAATTCGGTTAACCGGTTTGCCGATGATCTTTGACAACTAATTGCTCCGAATAATCGAGTCTGCTATTTTAAAATATATTTTTCTTCTATGCTCCCATGTATTGAAAATGCACGAAAGATCGGCAGTTTTACCGATCCAGTTACCGATTTCCATTACTGAAATTTACTGTAGTAAGCCGTAGGCTTTGACAAATAACGCAGTTTACAGCTAAAAATGATTTGGTATTTACGACAATTGAATGCTTCATTTTAATTTTAATCTACCCACCACTTTGCTACCAGGCCACATAAAATGTACGGGAGAGCGAGTGAGCCAGTGCAGCTTTACTTGAACCTTTGGATATGAGTGAAAAAAAGTCGAAAATTGCGCCTGAATCATCGCAGACCCCACTATGAAAACTCTCAATCCAATCATCATAATATAGCGAGAATAATTTTATGTAATTAAATCTAACCATTTTAATATTTGAATGTTTTTTTAAAGCTCAATGGGTTATTCATTACGATAAGGAAGAATTGGATACACTTGGTGAATGGCATCGAGAACAATTTAAATCTGTTAGTAATGGTGGAAATGGTTTATTTCAAGAATGCATCGATTCTAAGCTGTCAGAAGCAGATGTCGAAGAAAAATTACTCGCAATACTTCAACGTCATTGTCCAGAAAAAGAATGTTCTCTAGCCGGTAGCTCGATACATACTGATAAAGACGTTTTAAAACAGCGAATGCTAAGAGCTCACGATTATCTGCACTATCGTATTATTGATGTTAGTTCATTTCAAGGTGCGTTAAAACGCTGGGCACCGAAAAGGGACTCCGAATTTGTCCGTAAACTATCCAACACTGGACGAGATACGGTTAACCATCGAGCTATGGATGATATTGAATATTCAATAGAACTTTTGAAATTATTCTATCCATTGTTAACTGGTCGTCCGTAAGTCATCTGTTTTATTCTTTCATACTTTACATAAAAAGATAGATAAAACTAGAAATATTGATTCTGTGAAAAGGTTTTTCATTAAATTTTTTAATCAAAGATCATTTTGATTGTAATCATATAGATGAATACATTCTTTTAGATACCGAAGCAGAAGACCTGGAGATCGAGCACTCAATAGAAATGGACGGAGTCATGATTTAGAAGCTTCTGCTTCGGCAAATGTTAATCGTTCGATCGGAAATTTTGAAACAGAACGATCAACTTATTATGCTGATGAAAAATCACTTGAGGCTCGATTGAATCTTGATAAAACTACTGATGTTCCAGCTTTACATCTAAACGAAAACGTTCAGTCAATCTATAATCGTAATCCACATCTGCGCGAAATTTTTATTGACGATCCGTCTAAATTTGCAATAAAGAAAAAGTTCAAAAAGGAAAATCGCTTTCTTGATTTGAAAACTACAATTTTAAACTACAAACAGAATATGACGCGTAATATTACAACTGAACATTGGGGAACACGAAAACTACTATTAACAGACATCGAATTTCTAACAGATTATCGTGGTTCTGGAAGATATTTGGTAATTTACGTAGGTGCTGCACCTGGTATACATATTAATCATTTAAGTGATTTATTTCCTGACCTTGAATTTGTTCTTATTGATACGAAAAAAGTTGAAACAAAAAAGACACCATTTATCCATATTCGCTCAGGAGACTTTATGGATGATATAGTGAAAGAATATTCTAAATCAAAAAGAAAACTATTATTAATCTCTAACGTACATGTATCTGGTTCCCAGGATGATTCAGATGATAACATATTAAAAGAAATGGAAAATCAAAAATATTGGCATTTAAATATGAAGCCCATTGCATCTCTATTAACATTTCACTTCCCGCGGACGATAAATAAAATAAAATATTTTGAAGGTGATCTCATATTGGAGCCGTGGGCTTCAAGACGTGCTTCTAGCTGTCGTTTAATGGTTTCAAGAGAGGCATGTTCTATTGACTACAACGTCAAACAGCTCAAGTCATCTATGGGTTATTTTCAAAGTGTACTTCGAACGAACTATTATGAGCATGATTTAAAAGATTCGAATACCGATGGACTCGATCATTGCTACGATTGTCAAAGTGAAATCTTTATTTTATCCGAATATTTAACTGAAATACAAAAAGTTCCAAGAGACAAAGTACTAGAAGCTGTATCAAAAATGTCTCAAAAAATATCGGAAGCCATTCAAGATAAAAGCAGACCGCTAATTACTGGCAATATGCGAACACTGGCGGCTATTCCCAAAAAATAAACTGTAGCTTTTTTCAATATTATTCATGATTGCTTTTTTCGAATCCATGGAAACCTCGGATATATCAAGGTTTTCAATCAAGAATTCTTTTCTACTTATTTTTGAGACATAAATATAGATTGCTTTGAGTTTTCTACCATTGTATGTACGACATTTCAATCTATTGTTTATGATGTAGAGAAATCTGTGGGAACATCAATATCTTCTAATCAACACCAAAGATCACATATTGTGAGCTACTCCGGTCTTACTGCATTTCGTCTAACCTTTAAGGATCAAAGAAGCACGCTCGTAAATGGCGATATCAGCTAAGTTTTTTGCGATTTGAATGCCGTAATACACTACCTGCCAAAAAGTTAATTTATGGTCGTTAACTGTAGGAAACGATAGCATACGATAATGTTTTTAGATCTTTGTAATGATCGATCTAATATCATAGTAGAATTAAATCATCTGCGATATGTTAGCGTGTAAGATATAGGTGGGCTTAGGCGTGGTAAATTTGTATTGCAATTAATTGATCATAATAAAAACTCAAAAAATGAAGACCAAAACGTTTGCTTTAGCTCAAATTTATTGATTAAAGAAAAATTCTTTTTTGATGTGCTATTTTCTGCAATAGCGAAGAGCCAATAAACAGTGAACATCATCGAATCATCTCTAGTGCGTTTTGTTGTCTTGTTATGGAAATCATTGCAAGCAATCTTTTAGGATGAACCAGTCTTGGTCGTTGTTGTAAATACCAGCATAACAAAATCTCCTTGAACTGCCATCAAACGTCAGGTAGCGAAACAAGACATACAAATGGAAGAAGAAATATGATACAATACGAAAAGAATCGTGCATATTTCTGAGCAGTATAAATGTCTTCTTCCGATACCCAACATAGATGTGCCAGTTCGATAATGATGATTGGAATGTAAAAGATACAATAGAGCATTGAAATGGATAATATTTCAATGGCCATTTTTCGATATTTTCGCCATTGAATTTGTTGATGTAGACGATCACTTTGGATTAGACATTTTACTAGTAGAGAAACACTACAACTAATAATAACTAGAGCTGCTAATATGTTATTCATGACATTATTCCATAGACCAATGATATGGGGGGGGGGGGGGGGGTAGGGTGAAAA